GAACATACCAAACCCATTCGAGAGAAAGTGTGGCCCTCAAAAGGGCCGTTTTATATGTAGTATACCTAAGCTCGTTCGCCTCTGATACGTCTAGCAAGTTGAATATCTTTCGGCATAATAGTCACACGCTTAGCGTGAATGGCACATAGGTTAGTGTCCTCAAACAGACCCACCAAGTATGCTTCACTAGCCTCTTGGAGCGCCATCACAGCTGAACTCTGGAAGCGAAGATCCGTCTTAAAATCTTGGGCGATTTCGCGTACAAGCCGCTGAAAAGGCAACTTGCGAATAAGCAGCTCTGTGCTTTTTTGATAACGGCGGATCTCTCGTAGAGCAACAGTGCCGGGTCTGTAACGGTGAGGCTTCTTCACACCGCCCGTAGCAGGAGCACTCTTCCTAGCTGCCTTAGTAGCTAGTTGTTTCCTTGGCGCCTTGCCTCCGGTCGACTTGCGAGCAGTTTGCTTGGTACGTGCCATTATCTCTAACAACTCCGGGGAAAAGTAAGTGCCAAGCGATTTTCGCGTTCATTTTATTCTTACGATGATGGCACTTGGATCCGCCCACCCTGGAATACTATAATTCGATTGGACAGTTGGAACAAAAGACCCATTTGTACACGCCCACTGAGAATTCTATTCTGTGATTGGACAGTTGATCTAGACGAGTAGCATAAGAAGAGAAATTTCGGAAATTTTCTGGTATTGCGTCCTATATTCTCGATGACTGGTCGTGGTAAGGGAGGTAAAGGTCTTGGTAAAGGAGGAGCGAAGAGACATCGCAAAGTTCTTCGTGATAACATCCAGGGGATTACGAAACCCGCTATTAGGCGGTTGGCTCGACGTGGTGGTGTTAAGCGTATTTCCGGTCTCATCTATGAAGAAACCAGAGGCGTGTTGAAAGTGTTTCTGGAGAACGTTATTCGTGATGCTGTTACCTACACGGAGCATGCTAAGAGGAAGACTGTTACGGCAATGGATGTGGTGTATGCATTGAAGAGACAAGGTCGTACTCTGTACGGTTTCGGCGGTTAATTGAACGGTTTCTGATATATGAAAAACGGCCCTTTTCAGGGCCCCATTTTATCTGGGAGTATGGCTATTCCACTATTTAGTCAAGTTATACCTCACATTTCTTTGTTTGCTTTTCAATTTTCGTTTTGCGTGCTCCCGGCGCATCTTCCGTTTACTAGCAACATTTCTATAATTTTTGGAATGTTTTACTGGATACATGAAGTATTGTAGGTTAGCAGGCACATTGGTATGAATTTTGCTGGATTGCAGGTCATTCGTACCTATACAGGCGAGTTTTGTACTTAACGTGATTACATGAAGGCATTATATTGGGGCCAGTGTACTTTTAACATCGGAATTGTTTGAAATTTAAGTTGCCGTTAGTGATATTTCCAAAAGAGGTGTGACATACAGAGCAGAAATTTTCGGATGTTCCTATCAAGTAATGTTGGCAGTATGTCTTCAAATAACTAAAGGACTTACCGTAAATAATTTAGGTTCTAGTATCTAAAGGTTACACTTTCGTTGGGAGCAAGGTACTTTTGAAAGGTTTCAGCATTTGGAGATACACGATGGAGCACGAGTTCCCCTGCAATCTTAGGACTGAGGCTACCATACAATCGTACTTTTTTAATGTTTATGTCTGGCGTGTACACACACTCGTGTTAGGTTACCAAGCACCGAAATTTTTGGGCGAGATTTTTCGGTCTGCTGCAGGGATTAGGTTTCCTAGTATTATTTCGGGGTAAGGTTTGGCTACCCGCCCAAATTCTAACTACACCCTGATATACATGACAATCAATATTGTGCATATTATGGGCGTTTCCCACACTGCGAATACCGTATTTGCTCTGACGTGAACATGAATAAATTATTCGAAGAAAACTAAATGTCCAAGAAGTCAATTTTTAGGAGACAGTAAACGACAAACTCGAGTTGATACCGGGTCTTGATTCTGTCATCGACAGATTCACCAATAGTGTCATCGGGAGTGGGTGAATAACAAAACCGATTCACGACTACGAAGGTTAGAAGACCGCGTGGCAATACGAAGGTAGGCTAGTCTTTAATTTCGCCACACCATGCAATTTACAAATATTCATTTAGTACAAACAGAAATACACTAGTTTTCTAGAATGGGTCAAAAGCTTGGACAATGTTATAGGCAAGTCATAGGAATCAGAAAGTATGGTGTAACGAACATTGAATCGGAAATGCTTCATCTAGATATATAACTTAAAAGAGAACACATTCCTATTCGTCTTCATTACGATAAATATCTAGGTCGAAAATTTGAAAGGCGTACAAAATTCTACCTCACTGCAAAGCTTGGTTTAATCGTGAAAAGCAACCCACACACGTTGCCATAGATTCAGCTGTATAAACTCAGATCGGCATTAACAGACCCGCCACGACAGAACCCCATAACCGTAAGCAAATTCCTGCTTTAGATATAAGGCTTTTTACCTTTTCTAGCAATGCTTTTCGTACTCAGGATTGCTGGGCTGGACTCCACTCTTAATTAGCTTATTGGGTTTTTTCCAAGGTTCCTTGGTCTTCGTCGTATGACCAGCCCACTGATGCACAATACCTACTCAATCCTGACAAGACTTCCAGAGCCATCTAGTAGTTAATCAGGAGACTTTTTGGTGAGAAATGGCAGGTGAATTTAGCTTAGGAAATATCTGGTAGCATGCTCGTGTTGTATGTATATACTGGTCGTACACCGCGTGCACTTGTGAGGTCACTAAACGTACCATTTGGCTGCACGCGACATAGACAAGCGACTGAGGCAGGCGACAGAGTTACGAGACCGAGACTGGTCGCTTCCTGTCTGCTCTCTGTACAATACCGATCTGGAGGTCAGCTGCCCGCAGCCACGTCCGGAAGCTTCAAGTGTTACAATCCAAGTGTCTTCGCATTGCTACTAACGCGCCCTGGTACGTTAGTAACAGGCAAATACACGAGGATTTGGGGATCCTGCTCTTTACCGACCACATCAGAGCACTGACTGAGAGATTTGACTCGAGGTTAGTTGGTGTGGGGAACCTCTTAGTCCGGCAACTCGGGAGGCACTCGTGCCGAACGAGGGTTGTCAGAGGTCACCCAATTGCAACCGAGGGGGACTGATGTTCGACAGGTCAGCCGAGGCTGTTCCCAAAAGGTGGCCAGTCGGCGCATCGAGTGGTCAGTCCACTTTTCTACCCTGACTGAGGTTTTCCGTGCCTTTCCTCAGTTGTAATGCGAATGTCCGTGTATAATGTAATTGGGGCACGGCCTGCCACCCCCGATCACGAAGGTCCTTAGCTGAAGTGATCTCCCCCTCAAGCCGCAGAGGCCTTCAACCGAAGTTGCCTCTCCCTCTGCGGGTTCAAACCTCAGAGAACCAAAGAACCAAATTCTTTGGACAAGTTGCCTGACGTGATAACCTCTCATCAGCAGCAACAGATCCCAGTTTGAATGGTCGAGGCTTCCGCTACGACGTAACCCCGTTAGCGTTAGCAAAATTCCCGTTTTAGTTATAAGTTTATCATTTCCAGGAATGCGTTTCGTACGCAGGAATGATGTTACCTTGCTCAGGACTGCGCCCTGAGTTAGCTTTTTGGTTGGTTGGTGACAGTCTCTCACTCACTCTTCTGGAGTTCACAGTTACGGTCGACGCAAGTAAAGCTCGCCGCAGACCATCTACGGCCACTGGACCACCCGATAAATAGCTAAGCGCAGAGTCTATACCTATGAATAACATCTGGTGCATTGTCACTTACAATATTTTTCGTCAAATGTCCTATTCATTATTTACTTTCTAAATCAAGTTTGAGCCTTTTAATTAAATGAATTGATTTCCCTGATGATGACTTCTTGAGGTCGAAACGCGTATGGCAATCGTGTCTATTTTATTGTGTTAATAGTTGTTTGTTTCCTTATATTCGATGTCGTCAGGATAGGCGAAAGCCTCCTTATACCTATAAGCTTCCTGTCTTAGTTTCTACATGGCCACATCCAGTGCCAGGTTAAACGGTACAGCAGAGAGAGAATCCCCATGCCGTACCCCGGGGTGGGGTTTAGCCCCACGCCAAACGCCCAAACTAGAGGAACAAGGCATCGCCTTAGACCGGTCGGGTTTGAGTGACCCTACCAGGAGCCTAAGCTCCGGCCGGCAGAATAACTAAAATAATAGAGCCCCCCGCGACATTCCCATGCAGGCACTTGGGGTCAGCGGGGGTCAAGCTCCTAATCTTTCTTGACATCGGAATCAGATGGTGGTGAGTGGTAGCATCACGCTCCGGCCGTGAATTACCCCCGGGTTAGGATCTCGGACCCATTGTAGAGGAGGCTGGGTGGGTCCCAGAGCCAGTCTGGACGCAGAGGCTAGAGGAAAAATTCTCTGCCCCCATCGGGGATCGAATCCCGGTCGTCCAGTCCGTTGTCAGTTGTTATACTGACTGAGCTACATGCATTTCCTAAGTTGTTAACAAATGTACTGACGAATTCTGATGCACAATTTGCCATCATAATACAAAGGAAAGTGCAATAAATATCAAACCATTTTTGATTGACACAATATATTGCACAACCTTTCAATTCGTAACATAGACGATCAATATTATTGTACAAAACTGAATATTGCACAATAATATTGACCGTGTAGGGGTCGCTTAAGAACCTCTTTCACGATTGTTAAAATATGACACGCTGATATACGGTACGCAAACGATAGTGAAGCTTAACTTTCGCCAGTTGCCATAAATCTGAAAAGAAAGAAAGGAAGGGAAAAAAACTTGTCAATCACTCAATAACTGACATCGTATACAAACAACACACACATACATACTCTCACGCACACGCATGCACGTACAAGTAAATGGGCGTATTTTCTCATTTCAGATGGAGACTGTAAAAAACGGTGGAAGTATATACGGGATTCATACAATCGATTTAAACGCAAAAGAAAAATGTCAACCGGATCAGCTGCACCACCAAAAAATTCTAAGTGGGATTTTTTCAAGAGACTCCAATTCTTAGAACTGGTTTCAACAGAAAGACCTACTGCATGTAATGTTGATTCAGATTCAGCAGTCCCGTCAACTTCAAATTCACCGGCAAACGCACAGTTTGAGACTCAGAATGAAAACAGCGAAGGTTGTCCAAATGAAGCATCGCAGTCCTCTAAACCACCGCCTCCACGACGAAAAAGACGCAACAACAATCTTGATGATATTCTTGATTATCTCGTGAAACGGGACGAAAGCCGGCAAATTGCAATGAAACAGTTAAGTGCCAACACTGCTACAGAAATTGAAGACGATATTGCTTCATTTGGGAACCACGTAAAGGCTGTGTTGAGGAAACTACATCCACGTTTGAAAATACAGGCTAAGAACGACATATATAACATTTTAAGTAAATATGAAGTGATTCACATGGACATGCAAGAAGCAACATCAGTGACAAGTGGGATGTCCAACCAAACTATATCTGAGGTATCAGCATATTCTCCTACAAGTACTGCCTCGACCCCCCAACCAACTTAACGGTCCAGACACAGTGTACTACACAGAATGAAGACAATTATGATATTTGTGACATAATTAGCAATAATACAATATAAGAAACTTACCGTAACGTGAGTGACAGTTTTTCTTGTGGTTATATCCCCTTTTGTTTGTATGTTTTTTTGTATTAAACTCAGTACGTAACCAAACTGCTTATGATTCAATCTGAAATAACTCCTGAAAATATCTTCTTCTAATAATGATTCTTTATTAACAAAGATCCTTCTTCACGTCTGGTTTTGAACATTGAAGTAATAGGTTTTCTTTGTTTCTTTCCCAACACATCTTCCCCTTCGAGTAACCTTTTTAGAAGCAATTTTTATACTCATTTTTCACAGAATATGTGCACGTATGTTTCAACAAAACAATTACTTTATCATGGTTTTTCGCTTTGTCGCCAAACACTTTGTGGCGACAAGTTGCGATGCCAGTCTCCCGTGTAGCCAAATGGTACCTTAAAAATCCTCGGCGTATGACAGATATCAAACATTAATTTTTTTCCATTTCCACATGCAACCATTTAGAAAAAGAAAGATGAATGTCAAAAAGTGACATTAACCTCAAAATTCAACGCAAAGAAAAGCGCGATTCGCTGAATCAAATTACATAACGTGTGACAAAGTAACTCCTCAGAGCTTTGTGGGGCCCTTAAAAGGGCCGTTTTAAAATCAGATATTCTAAGCTTTCTTCTCAGTCTTCTTTGGTAGCAACACAGCCTGAATGTTAGGTAGCACACCACCTTGAGCAATTGTAACACCAGACAACAGTTTATTCAGCTCTTCATCATTTCGGATCGCCAATTGCAGATGTCTAGGAATAATCCTAGTTTTCTTATTGTCACGTGCTGCATTGCCAGCCAATTCAAGAACTTCCGCAGCCAAATATTCCATCACAGCAGCCAAGTACACAGGAGCACCGGCACCAACACGCTCAGCGTAATTTCCTTTGCGGAGTAGCCTGTGGATACGGCCCACCGGAAACTGCAGTCCCGCTCGACTAGACCGAGACTTGGACTTGCCTTTAACTTTACCACCTTTACCGCGACCAGACATTGCGTAGAATAGCAGTAACTCGTGTTCTAATAAAACTTTTGCGAAAAACCGCTCCATTTTGTAGGACTGTGAGGAAATTTACCCTACCCAATCACCGAAAGCAACTTACAAACACGTGACAAGTCTTGTTTTCATTGGTGCGGAACTGTAACAGTAGCCTTGAACCCTACGCACTTAATAATGACCACTTTTCCAAAAATTTGCATATCTGCTCTGCAGTTGGTTGTTGGTTTCATCATGCCACCGAAGACATCTGGTAAAGCTGCTAAAAAGGCCGGTAAGGCCCAGAAGAATATATCGAAAACTGACAAAAAGAAGAAACGCAAGAGGAAAGAAAGTTACGCCATCTACATCTACAAGGTGTTGAAACAGGTTCACCCAGACACCGGTATCAGCTCCAAGGCAATGAGCATCATGAATAGTTTCGTGAATGATATTTTCGAGCGAATTGCTGCTGAGGCTTCCAGGTTGGCTCATTATAATAAGAGATCTACGATCACAAGTCGTGAGATACAGACTGCTGTTCGACTGTTGCTACCAGGTGAACTGGCTAAGCATGCGGTGAGTGAGGGGACGAAGGCAGTCACTAAGTATACCAGTTCCAAATAGACTAGCTTGCAGTGAAAAAAACGGCCCTTTTCAGGGCCCCATATGAATCATTGGTGGTATTGTTTGTCTCGTTGAATTTCGTTTTGCTTCGATTTGTTTTTATTTACGTTTGAGCTAAGTATACACAGGCTATGGCCCAAGTCACGTACCGACTGACTATAGAGCCCATTTTGAAGCTCGTGCAAAGGTTCAACTTTATATGAATTTTGGTCCGTGTGACTGCAATTTCTCTATTTTCGAAGGAATTAGCTCAACAAAGGTTGCTTTTTGATTTAGTAAACTTCACATCTTAAATATTTGTTTATTTGGGACAACATTTCTTTATGCTTTTAAACTTGTTTCTGGTCTTGAACAGGAGTAGAATTAATTTACCATGGATCCTTCATAGTCCCAAACCAAGCATGTCAAAGTTGTTATGTAGGACCTCCAAACCTACCTGCCCATTCTTGTACTTTATGCACCTCACTTATAAGATTTCTCTCCTAACTTGGTTGACCCAACATGATTGTGGTTTACCTGTAGGTCTTCTTTCTTTGACTTATATTCGTTTCCAATAATCTTGTTCTGTGCTCATTTGGTTTTGAATTTCGCCTGGGTATCTTTTCTAGTTTTCCCTACTGTTACCACCAGGAATTTCATTTCAAGCAATTGTATTATACACTCCTGTCTGCTCCATGTAATAGTATCGTTTGAAAATGTATGTTAAATACCATAATTGTACATTTCCTGTCTATCTTTACTCCATTATTAAGTTTAACCATTAGCAAAATTATTCCAATTGGAAATCTTTCCAATTCTTTCATTTCTCTTGTTTTGGTTCTTGCCATGTTTTATCCTCCATTTCTCTATAATCTGGACATTGCTCTCTTCACGGTCTGTATTTCCAGCTTACTCTTTCTGAGTGGCTTAATCTCACCTCTGATTCCTTTACCTCATATCAAAATATGTTTGGATGTATAAGCTTTTAAATTTGTTTTTCTTCTCTGATCTTGTTACAGACTTGGTTAATTACGTCATCATCCCTTTGAAAGTTATGGGATGCACAATTTCCTAATAAACGTTCAATAGTGTACAGTGGGAACACTGTGGCCAATCTGAGCATCAATATTGAATGTGTCAGTCTCTTTTGGTTAAGTTTTAGTGGTCTCAGGTTGGCAGCACCTTCGAAAATGGCAGTTTTGTGTGTAAGAAGGGGTTAAGCAACTATTCGTGTAGAAAGCCTAATTAGGCTTCAATACCCAAGTGAGTACTTTCATAAATGTATAATAATAATAATATTAGAATATTTTGTCATAGTTACAGCTAGTACTTACAAACTACGAAATGAGTTTATATGTTGAGTGGAAGTTTCAGTATTAGATATTTCTCATGTAAGCTGCTGTTACATTTATTGTGTCTATAGCAGTCTGCAATTTTTCAAGTGGTGCTACTTTTCAACAGGAGAATCAGTGGAACCACCCACATGTCGACAGACTCGGAGGACAGTTTTGCAGCTAGAGCTTGAGGCAGCTACACATACATACTACAAGCATGCTTCTGATTCAGATGGTGATGCTGATTCTAGCAATGATGAGAGTTTACATGATCGTCTTTTTGAAGGTATGTCGGTCTTCCTCATCCCGCAGTAAACAAACATACACTCTCATCAAATATAGATGATGATTTTCAACCCAGAAAGTCTGTTCCAGTGATCAGGTATCCCATTTTTTGTGCAAATTTATATCACAGTTAGAAATATTTTTTAAAGTGTTTCACAGTAGTTTGTGTTTATGTTTATAATACTGTCCACCAATGAAATGTTGGAAATAATGGAGAAATACACTGGAATGTAAATGACAAGAACAGACCATGGAGACATAATGATTGCTATTTGGTGTTCACCAAACACTTGCTACACAATTGCCTCCCTGAAATTTACTCTGCTGGCTAAATAAGAAATCTACCAAGAATTCTATAGCAAAAGAATGAATATCATGAGTTATAGATGCAAAGTTTCTTTCTCCAAATACTCTTTTCTGCCTGAATCCAATCTGATTTCAGACCAGGATGATCGTTCCTTACTTTTCTTAACAAAATTCATATGTATTTTTCACTTTCCTCACAAGATCTGTTGAAATTCTGAGTTTTTCCAAAATTATTCAAATGCTTTCTCACACTATCATACGATTTATATTATAAAATGTTGTCCGCACTCACATTTCTTCCCAATCAAAAGTTAGATCTGAAGTTGCTATACCTTTCCTTAGTACATATATTCCTTCTGCAAATTTTGCTTTGATTTGCATTGTCATTTTGTTTAATAGTACCCTTTCACAAATTTTTAGAGTCTGGCACAACACTAAGTCTTCTACATCAGCAGTATTCAACCTTCTTTGTTCGCGTACCCCCAGATATAATTTCTCTTCAACTTTGTACCCCCAAATTTGTTGGTGTATAATTCAAGTTATACATACCTAATTACAATTTCACTCCAAAAACAAAAACATTCACTCCAATATGTAAAAATGAATCTGGAAGTGAACATCACCAAAAAGTTGCATATCAGAAATTGTAATTAGATTTTAGGTTTATAATTTTAACTTTTACACCTGAAGATGGTTTATATAGAAACCGAAACATGTTGTAGAAAGATGTTCCAAATGTAAATCGAGTGTTCGATGAGGAACATCAAATGATATTTTACTTATCTTAATTGTAAATTTTATATATGAATTGTGATTAGACGGACAAAAACCGAATAATTAATTAAAATTATGTATATTACATTTAAAATTTTACGTACATTTTCTGCTTTGCTTTCGAAAAATTCAGCTGACTGTCCTTAAACTCACCGTGATTGGTGGAGATGGTTTCATAGAGTTTTTCGATAGAAGTTGGTTCCAAATCACGCAGATTTGAAACAAATCCATATTTAATGTACGATTCATTTCAATACTTCGTCCGATTTCACATTTTTTGTGGATTTTAGGCTTACTTGTAGATGGTTTAACACGAACATCACAGGTTTGGAACAGAACTGTCGCACTTTTCAGTGTTTGTGACTCAACTCTATCGTAATTTAAAACTTTGTAATCGATTTCACTCTTCGTATTTACAATAAATTTATCCATGTTGCAAAACGTAAAATGAAAATAATGATTACTGTCGTGGTTTCGAGAAGGAACTGAGTGAATGTTGACTAATACGCACTTATAATTTATCCGCGTTTTAACGACACGTCCACACACCACAAAAGGACTTTAGGGTAGAAAATTAACTTAACTTAGTAAATTATTAAGCAATAATTATTATTCACAGAGCCGGTAAACGTACTACATATCGCGACTCGACACGTCACTAAGCTTGTAGACACTTACGCCCGACTTAAACCGATCAGGAAATTAGATCCGACACGACTTGTTGGAGCTGCGATACTAAACTGAGGAGTATTTTGCAAAAATGAAATTGAATGAGCAAGGACAGGCAAAATGTTTTTGTGTTGTTACAAAAACATCATTCGGTATTTCCGAGTCATAAAACCAGCAACCACTTCCCGCGTTTCTCTTGCCGGCATCGGCGACTGTCAAAGACCAGGGTCTGTTCGTTTATTGCCTGGTTTTAGGGAAAACGTTAATCCCGCCCAATAGCGTTCAGTCACGTTCCAAAGGAAAGGAGAGAGTGAGAAATGGCCCTCCCAAATCCTTACGTCCGGTTCTCCTGTGTCTAACCCTAAATCTGGTCCTGATTATTCAGTGTTTATCATAAAATAATATATTTTTTTAAATTTCACGTACCCCCTAAGATGTCTTCGCGTACCCACAGATATAATTTCTCTTCAACTTTGTACCCCCAAATTTGTTGGTGTATAATTCAAGTTATACATACCTAATTACAATTTCACTCCAAAAACAAAAACATTCACTCCAATATGTAAAAATGAATCTGGAAGTGAACATCACCAAAAAGTTGCATATCAGAAATTGTAATTAGATTTTAGGTTTATAATTTTAACTTTTACACCTGAAGATGGTTTATATAGAAACCGAAACATGTTGTAGAAAGATGTTCCAAATGTAAATCGAGTGTTCGATGAGGAACATCAAATGATATTTTACTTATCTTAATTGTAAATTTTATATATGAATTGTGATTAGACGGACAAAAACCGAATAATTAATTAAAATTATGTATATTACATTTAAAATTTTACGTACATTTTCTGCTTTGCTTTCGAAAAATTCAGCTGACTGTCCTTAAACTCACCGTGATTGGTGGAGATGGTTTCATAGAGTTTTTCGATAGAAGTTGGTTCCAAATCACGCAGATTTGAAACAAATCCATATTTAATGTACGATTCATTTCAATACTTCGTCCGATTTCACATTTTTTGTGGATTTTAGGCTTACTTGTAGATGGTTTAACACGAACATCACAGGTTTGGAACAGAACTGTCGCACTTTTCAGTGTTTGTGACTCAACTCTATCGTAATTTAAAACTTTGTAATCGATTTCACTCTTCGTATTTACAATAAATTTATCCATGTTGCAAAACGTAAAATGAAAATAATGATTACTGTCGTGGTTTCGAGAAGGAACTGAGTGAATGTTGACTAATACGCACTTATAATTTATCCGCGTTTTAACGACACGTCCACACACCACAAAAGGACTTTAGGGTAGAAAATTAACTTAACTTAGTAAATTATTAAGCAATAATTATTATTCACAGAGCCGGTAAACGTACTACATATCGCGACTCGACACGTCACTAAGCTTGTAGACACTTACGCCCGACTTAAACCGATCAGGAAATTAGATCCGACACGACTTGTTGGAGCTGCGATACTAAACTGAGGAGTATTTTGCAAAAATGAAATTGAATGAGCAAGGACAGGCAAAATGTTTTTGTGTTGTTACAAAAACATCATTCGGTATTTCCGAGTCATAAAACCAGCAACCACTTCCCGCGTTTCTCTTGCCGGCATCGGCGACTGTCAAAGACCAGGGTCTGTTCGTTTATTGCCTGGTTTTAGGGAAAACGTTAATCCCGCCCAAT